CAAGACCGAGTGTCTATAACCATCAGTCCTTTCTTCCTTAGTTTTCTTTTCTGGAAAAGATACTATCCCATTTCCTTGATGCCCAGAATAACAAAGCAGTTTCCTCTCCCACATCAACTCTAGACTTTAGTGGCGGACACCTGCAATGCTCTGTGGGAAGGTGTGTGTGGGCCAAATCGTATCTTCATCTTCCATGAGCACCAGTGGGAGAGTTGGGTACATGTTATAGGAATGTTCAGAACTTTATTGTAAGGCCTGTTTGTTCCTCCATAATCAGGAGAGATACAAGGAATATTTGAAACAGTAAAGTCAGCACCTTCTCAGTCAGAATGAACTAAGGTCAACCAGATTGCCAGAGCAGGGTGTGGAGCCCCTCTGTGCCAAGTGCTTATACGTTAGTGCCTGGGGCGCATGCAGCACCCATGATTCCTGGGAAAGTGCAGGGTGGAGAGTGTGGAGAGCAGGCTAGGTCCTTTATCGACTAAATAGCAACTGCTATAGGGGTGATGTTGGCCTTCCCCTGCTGTCTCACCCACTCCATGTTCTGGAAGCTACAAAATATGAGAAGGAAGAGTCATGTTCTCTTTGTCYGGTCTGCCTGTCTTGGTGAGATTTTAAGCAAATTAGAAATTCTTTATTTGTTTTTCCTTGAATACCTGAATTGATGTACTACTCAAGCAAATCCCTGCTGTTAAATAAACTCAAAACTAAGTTGCAGAGTTAGCACTAGATGCTATAAAATGTTATAAAACTCTGAAGCAAAACAGGGGAAAAAAAAAAAAAAGAAAAGAGTCCGGCTGAAGTTGGATGGATGGTGGAGCCCAAGAAACGGAGCGGAAGCTTCTCCATCTATCAGAGTCATGCAATTAAACAACCCCCAAAGAGGAGTCCTCAAAGAAAATTGTTTTAGAGTACACAATGAAAGACCAAACAAAACTAAACTTGTCTCTGACTTTTTTTTTTTTAATAAAAGGGGCTGCTTAAAATGATGACTGTAAGAGTGTGTGCCACTTTGCCCAGATTTGCCGTGCAGAAGTGTGAGTGATGTAGAGGTACTTGTTTATTATAGAGCACATTTCAATGCAGTAATCATAAATATTGCTAAGGTTGTGCTCTGTTGAAATATGACCTACATCCTCTTGATTGTTTGTGTTACGTGATTTGTCTGACACCCATTACATTCTGGGTAATAGCAGCCATTTGTTGCTCTGCACAGCAGGCTCTTTTGACAAAAGAAAATAGGCAGCAATAAAAAAGCTATAGTCTGAATTACATTCTGCACAGAGCTGCACTGCTGAGAGTTTGTGCAAGTGTGTTAACAATGCTCTGAACTGCCTCTTGTCAGCCTTCAGCCTGTAATGGCCATCTGTCCTCACATAAATCTKTCAAAACCTGCTAAGTTCAAGAGAGAGCATGGAATATACCTTGTAATGTCAACACCAAAATGTACACATTCTCCAGAAAATCAACACACAGGAAATAATCCGGAGGTTATGGGAGGCATTAGCCCTGTTGATTTAGGCTTGTGGCATGAAATTGAGAGTCCAGTGATTAGCAGGAAGATGAGCAAAGGTAGCGACGTTAAGGAATCGAGTACTGACCTTCCTCCTGCCCCGGGGAAAGGAAATGTGGGCAGAGGAGGCGAGGTTGGAGAGATGCCCTGGGTTCAGGGACACTGCAAGGTTGGGGATCCCATCAGCAGCTCTGGAAAGTTTGGCGCTATGTTAAAAGAGAAAAAAAAAAAACAACTCTTTGCCCTTTAGTTTTGTTTGGGTTGGGGTCTCAACCATATCTGGAGATAGATTTTCAATTAAGCACTTGGCGATAGGAAATCTTGTCATTCTTGCTATTTCTCAATCTTGAGCTAAGTTATTCTCTGGTTAAAGATCTTTCAATGAAGGGTAAAAAATTTAGGGAACTATCTAAATTATTTTCCTTTGGCCACCTCGGGACTAATCGTAAAGTATCTCCCATCCAATAAGCAAATATTACTTGTTTGGTTTAACAGGTGATGCTAACAGAAATTCACAGTCCTGATATTTTCACTCACCGGACATGTTGGGTTGTCTCTGAGCATTTTCATAAATTTCAAGYATATCTGAAAGAAAAATATACTGATTTAAAATTTGAAAGAATTGTCTTTTTATTAAAATGAACCATGAGGTCYTTGAAGGTGGAATCCCTGACATAGCAGCATCAGCCATATCTTTCGGCACATAGTAGGTGTTTAAAGAACTCCTATTCAATGGCCAGAATCCATTTAATACATGGAAGAGATAAAAGGCTTTGTTTTTAACTCGGAGAAAGTATAGTGTTGCCACTTCCAAGAGCAACTTGAGAACCAGTTATTTAAGCGATAATGAGCTTAGGTACTGGGACAGGGTTTCGAATTTTCAAGACTAAAAAGAATTTCTATATTTAAAATCCCTAGATAGCTGAGATATTTTTAGAACTCATCTCTAATAGTGGCCTAATTTGGTGTTTCTGAAGTTTAGGGTTTCTTTTTATAAATCGACAGTGTCCRTCGAAACCCACGTTTGGGAGTACGAGGCGATGTCCTATGGAGATTCTTGAGGGCCATGGTGCTCCCTATGTGGTCTGGGCACCTCCTCATTAAAAATGTTTAGCCAGCTTCTGAAGCGAATCTTGGGCCCCTGAAATGAGAGCCTTTCTGTTCAAGGAGAAGCTGGAAAAATAAAAATGAGCAAAAACAGGTTGTGAGAAATAAGCCCAAGAGACATCCCTAAAAGAGTTTAAGATCTATTTTGAGAGAAGATACAATTCACATTGAAAGGGAGATAAGCAAGAAGACAGCGCTCTCTGTCCTGTAGGAAGTGAGTGATCCCGGCAGTAGATTATCGGAGAGGTACAAAGGACCCTAACTTGGAGTGACGACAAAAAGATTTACGGAGTTGGGTTGTATGAAGTGGTATGTCACTTCCTCCAATTTAAGGGCCCCATCATTTGGCATATTTAACTGATATTTATTCCGAAAAAGAGCTTATGCATCATTATTTTCTAAGTATCTTAGATGCCCAGGAGGAATATTTGAAAACTTGCCATCTCTTTCCTGAACATCAGTGTCTTTAAATTTGTTGTGTTGGTAGTTGAAGGTAGTGGGTGGTGGAAACGGAGCAGGGCAGAAGGTACACAGAGCTAGAAAAAGAGGAGAGGAAAGGGACCACACTAGACTTCTTGGATTGAACAGAAGACTACTCTTCTAAGATAGCGGAAGCAGAGGGGGCGTACCTGAGTGGCACAGGTGTTCTGTTCAGTCAAATGTTCATGCCTGTCAGCTGCAGCAAAGGGCAGGAGGTGCTTCCAGAGCAGCTGCCGGCCAAAGCAAGTCTTCCAGGCCCAGCAGGGTCTGCCCCTCTGCACGGCCTTCCTGGGCCTTCCAGGATTTTCTGGAATGGGAATCAGGCCAAACCCTTTCCTATTTTGATGCCCGTCATCCTCTCATTTAGTAAGATTACCCATGATTACTCAAATTTGCCAAAAAATGGGTGTAGAATGGTTCATTTGGGGGGAGAAAGCATTGAGTTCTCCTTTTATTTTTTGTATGTGTGTAAAGTAGGAGAGCGAGGCAGCATCTTCCTCTTCATATCAAAATTTCATGTGGTTTTCTGTGACCTACTTGGTTCTTGATATATATATATATATATATTTTTTTTTTTTTTTCTCCCAGCAAGGTAGGATTTTTTTTTTTTTCCTTGAAAAACGTGCAGTTGCCTCCAGTCTAACCCCAGGCTTGTTAGCGGGCTGAAAACTCTTTTTTGCTGAATAGCGTTCACCCATCCTTCTAAATAGACAGTGTATTGTAAACTAAAATGTTCCCTTGTAAGCACGAAGTCATTTGAACTCCAGCCTGCCCTTCTTCAAAGTCCCCTGGACTCTGGAGCCATTTCACAAGGCTTCTTCCTTGGTGTGGAGGGAGGAGGAGAATCTGCCGAGGGGTGAAACTTAGCGGCAGCTACCATACTCCACAGACYCTCCTACCTTGGCCTGGGATGGAATTTTCCACCCTTCCGTGGCAGAGGAAGAAGGGCAACAACTGACGAGTGTTCCCCTTTCTTCCTTTATTTCTTCCTTTATTTAATTAGTTGCCAGAGCTCGGATTCATTTCAATCCTTCCGTCTCATCRCCCTCACTGATGTGCTCTAAATAAAATGGTCCACTGGCGCAGCGATATTTACTGTTACCGTTCACTTAGGTTTCTGTTGCAGAACCATATTTTAGACAGAATGTATTAGTTATGCTTACAAGAACGTATTATACCTACATTAGCCATGGTTTACTAAGCTAATGAACTGTGGAGACAAAGAATCATTGCCGTCAAGTCATCGAGTGACTCGGGTTCCCTGCATTCCTCTGGTCTGTCGTATTTTACTGACTTGGAAGATGCCTCTGCCATTCCCACCCTGACCAGCGTTTTGCTTTCATTCCCTTTTTTTTTTTTTTTTCAATTTTCAAAATTGCTTAATCCCCCAGCTTCAAGGTTACATTTTCTTGATGGGCTGAAGAGCCCTGAGCATATGCCTCTTTTGCAATATTCTTTGCAGACAAATGGAACGGAGGCCTATTCTGTGGCTCCCGAGTCTCATTGCTTGAATGTCCACGAGGCAGCCTGTACCGTATCCTTGAAGGAACGAGCAGTGTGATGGCTGGAGCTGTGGGGGCCAGGGGGGTGACACCTTCACGTTGCCTGGGAAGCAGGATTTGTTAGCATTGATGTTTGAAATTCAAAATATCACAGCTCCTGCTGCTGCCTGGCGCTGTCGATCCATCTTTTCTTGGTGACACAGGCTTAGGGGAAGAGTCTGTTTTTCAAGTGTTGCCCTGAATTTAGCTCCCTCCTTCTTCACTCAGTTTTAACCCTTGTCTGAAATCTCAGAAAACTTAGGAAACGTGTCTTGTCATTTAAGAACATCATCTCTGTCTCTTTTCTCTCTTTATTGCTGCTCTTTTTTTTTTYYTTYYTTTTTTTTTTTTTGCCTCAGGCCTCACTCCACCCACAACTCCTCCTCATAAAGCCAACCAAGATAACCCTTTCAGGGCTTCTCCAAAGCCGAAGTCCTCCTGCAAGACCGTGGTGCCACCGCCATCAAAGAAGGCCCGGTACAGCGAGTCTTCTGGTACCCAAGGCAATAACTCTACCAAAAAAGGGCCTGAGCAGTCCGAGTTGTACGCGCAGCTCAGTAAGTCCTCAGTGCCCAGCAGTGGACACGAGGAAAGGAAGGCCAAACGGCCCAGCCCACGCCTGTTTGGTGACCATGACTATTGCCAGTCAATTAATTCCAAAACGGAAATACTTATTCACGTGTCACAGGAGCTCCCAGACTCTAGACAACTAGACTATAAAGATGCCTCCTCTGCCTGGCAGGGGCAGATTTGTTCTTCCACAGACTCAGACCAGCTCTACCTGAGAGAGACGCTGGAGGCCAGCAAGCAGGTCTCTCCCTGCGGCACCAGAAAACAGCTCCAAGACCAGGAGATCCGAGCCGAGCTGAACAAGCACTTCGGTCATCCCAGTCAAGCTGTTTTTGACGACGAAGCAGACAAGACCAGTGAACTGAGGGACAGTGATTTCAGTAATGAACAATTCTCCAAACTACCTATGTTTATAAATTCAGGACTCGCCATGGATGGCCTATTCGATGACAGCGAAGATGAAAGTGATAAACTGAGCTGCCCTTGGGATGGCACGCAATCCTATTCATTGTTCGACGTGTCGCCTTCTTGCTCTTCTTTTAACTCTCCGTGTAGAGATTCCGTGTCACCACCCAAATCCTTATTTTCTCAAAGACCCCAAAGGATGCGCTCTCGTTCAAGGTCCTTTTCTCGACACAGGTCGTGTTCCCGATCACCATATTCCAGGTCAAGATCAAGGTCCCCAGGCAGTAGATCCTCCTCAAGGTAAACCTTGTCAAAAGCCACCCGGGCCTTAAGGTGCTGCTCAGGAAGTCAAAGAAGTCTCCAAACCCCACAGCCAGCCCAGCCCTTTCCCCCCGCCATTCTTCTTGGCTGAAACCATATTGTTAAGTGTCCCTCCCTCCCCAGGTTCCCTTTCATCTCTCAGGCCTGGGCRCAGTGCCTTGAGCCAATGCGACCAGAGAGAGCAATTTGTAAGAAACTTGTTCATCTAACTTTTTCCATTACCTGGAGAGCTGCCCTGTGCCAGGATAGTTGAGATCCACGCGAGATAAAGCTGACAGCGTACCAGACCTGGTGCTCAGTGTTCACATCAATAAGGAAGCAGAGAGAGAACACATCCCTCCYGGGCCCCTGAGCTGACTAGCTGATCACAGGCTGTCACTGGGAAATCTCACTAGGAGCTAGGAAGGAAAAGCCAGTTGATGTAGCCCGCTGTTCTGCGGGATGTTCAGTAGCGCCAGTAAACTTGGGGTCAGTGGCAGTGGCAAATGTCCCTCTCCTTTTTCTCCTCTCTCCCAGGTCCTGCTACTACCATGAGTCAAGCCACTACAGACACCGCACGCACCGAAATTCTCCCTTATATGTGAGATCACGTTCAAGATCGCCCTACAGCCGGCGGCCCAGGTAATGAGGCGTGTCCTTGTCCTTGGGCTCCTTATATCCCTTCCTTTAGATGACAAGATGGTATCTAAAGCCCTTCTGACCTCCCCAAATTACCATTCATCTGGCTCCTGCAAATGGAGGTGGTTGACTTAATGAYGAAGTTGTGTTTCTCAGGTATGACAGCTACGAGGCGTATCAGCATGAAAGGCTGAAGAGGGAAGAATACCGCAAAGAATACGAGAAGCGGGAATCCGAAAGGGCCAAGCAGAGAGAGAGGCAGAGGCAGAAGGCAATTGTAAGCAGCTGGGAGCTAACTTTCTTTTTTAAAAGAGGGTTGCTATTTTTTTTTTTCCGATGTGCTTTTTTCTTTTCTTTTTTTTTTTTTTTTTCCTTTTCTCTTTTTGGTAGATTAGAAAATAAACGAAAGCTAAGGCTTTGTCTAAATGGGCTATAATCAGCCTTTTGGCTTTAAAATATCAATGAGTTTTCAGTCGCGCTTAACAGAACTTATTGGAAAAAAGTGCTGTGTCAGGAGATTCCCCATTCTAGTTGCATTTGGAAGTTCATTACTGTTTTTGAGTTTTGTTTTGAAGAATGGAGGGAGTAGAGGTTTATTTGGGCAGACACTGGTTTCATCTGGCTAGAGATGAGTTGTTGTTTTTTTTTTTTTTCACTCTTTCTGGTTGCTTCTTTCTCTGAGTGGACAAGGGGGAGGTATTGCTGTTTGGTTTCTGTTTTCATCTTTTTGACAGACTCAGGGATTGGATTGTCCATGAAGAGACTGGGTTCATGTTAGATTTAAAGGCGGCTGTAGAGGAAGATTTGCTGGGGAAGTCATCATTTCTTAGTCCAGATGGGTCAGCCCCTAACTCGTTGGTCTCTGAGGGTCAGTACTCTTTTTTTGGCATCTGCTAATAAGTAGACTTTCTCCCAGCTCCACACTGCTGCTTATGCACCTAGACCTTAGATGGCATAATGAAGCTCTGTGACGGTCAACACCCCATACTTGCCCATGGCAGACACTCCTAATCAATTTTGGAACTCTGCCCCACCAAGCCCCCACAGAGTCTTAGGGTCTTTCCCAACATGGTGCTCCAGGGAGCCCTGGCTAATCATTCAGATATGGCTCTACTTTGGCTCATTGCACCTGAGGCCTGTCTATGCTAGTTGCTAAGTTCAGTGAACATCAGCATTTGACATGTTTTGCTTATGAGCTAACCAGGGCTTAGGGAAATGATTTTAAACCACAGAAGTTGGATTTCTATGGTACCTTTAAGAAAACCCACTAACATCAACAAAATTTTGAAAAACCTAAATAAAAGAGCTGACTCATAGAGTCCAACTCAAGCCAGCTGGAGGAAAGAGGCTAAATGAGAGGTTTGTTAATCACAGGCATCGAGGGGAAAGAACCGAGAGGTAATTGAACAGTTAGACCCAAGTTCTGGGGTGTTTGCTGCCATTTAACTTTGAACCTACCAAAGACTCAATCAAAGGCCCTGTGCAAATTATAACACTTTTCCTCCTTTTTCTCAACTTTCAAATGAGYTGTGATATTAAGATTTGCCAGAGAATCATTAGTTAACACTTACAAAGACTAATGACAATTAAAAATTCCATTTTTCTAATATTGCTATGTTTAATTAATGGCCTATTCAATAATTATAATAACTCACATTTATATAATGCCATATAGTTTACAAAGCCTTTTAATATGGCACATTACAATTAATCATTACAAAARAGAATCATGTTAAGCAAGCATGTAGGAAAATAGTTATTTTAGTGTCTGCAAATTCATATTTTAAAAAATTCTTGATCCCCCCCCCAATAGGATATTAAAGATAGAGATTAATAGTTTCATCTTATATGTCCTCATTTGGTCAAAACATAACTGAATTTGAAAGCCAGATTAATATTTTCATCAAAAATATATAAATTGGGCTGGGATTGTGGCTCAGC